TTGTCATATGGTGGTGAAGGCCTAGTGATGGAGTTGTCAGGGTAAGACCACCAAGAAACCCACCCTCCAATGGCTCATACTCTTCTTGCTCCCTGCCTTCTCCCCATATCATCCTTGCCTTGAGAGCTGGCTTTGGAGTTGGGCATATGACATAGGGACTGTGACAGCAGTGCCTCAAATGCTCCATTGGACCCACCACCTCCTGGCCAGGAAAGTAGATCGATGCCTGCTGCTCTTTCCTCTTTGCCACATCATCCCTCCTGTCCTGGTTGATCAGACGATGCAACATGACACCAGGCCTCCCTTCCCAGCTCCTGTAGAACTGGGAGACACATTTCTCTGGGCCTGCTCAAATCTCCCTGCCTTGATGAGTTTTCTGGCTCATCGACTACCTTTCCCCTCCCTTGGGAGTCTAGGCCATCTAAAGTCACACCCACTCACAGCACATGTACTTCTTCTTCTCTGCAGATCTTAACTCAATTGGCTATGGTCTTCTTGGTGCAAAGTCCACCTTGCCTACAGAATTTAAGCTATGTGACAAAGAGTCCTCTTTGTCTTGTTCAGCCTGTAATCTCAGTGCATGGCACCAATACAGGAGATGCTCAATAAATATTTGCTGACTATTGTCACCATGAAATGTTTAGGCCTGTGCTTTATCCTGCTTTATTTCATGGACAAGTCTTGCTTTTAATGTACCAGGCTTTTCCTGCCCACAACGAGGCCATAGGAATTAGTTGGATCAAGGTTAAAATTTGTTGCCAAGGCCAGAAAGGCTAGACTAAGAGAGTTTCTCTTACTCCTCTTACAGAAGCAGAGTGGTATTGGGAGACATACACTGGGGATTTAGATTCCTAGGAAAAGCCAAACAAGAAGTAGTGACCATTGTTTTGAACAGCGGTTTGGAGAGGGTCCAAGTGTTAGCACAGACCTTTCCAAATGATTCAGGAGCCACCTGGCTCTGCAGGCCAGACAGAAGCAATGCCTGACACAAGAGACAGTGAGTCATTTTCACTCGGGGTTAACATTTGTACTTAAGATTCAAACGTTAGAACAGTTTAAAGAGACAACAAATGAAAGCCAAGACCAATGACGCCCCTCAGTCTGGGCTCTAGGGCTGTTAGAGACAGTTGAGCCAAAATGCTTACACTCCTTTGTGAGGAATGAGAGCCTCCTTCTCCTTCCCTACAGAGAGTAGGAACTTGATCCAGTCATAAGCCAAAGTAAGCATGGAGATTGCAAACTTGCTAAACATTAAATTCAAATAAGCATTTCAGTGAATCAAGAAACGATGTGTATTAGTGTGTTGTCTGTTACTATAACAAAATACCTGAATCTGGGTATTTCATAAAGTGAAGGAATTTATTTCGCTTATAGTTTTGGAGACTGAAAGTCCAAGATCAGACTGCCCCATTTGTTGGGCCTCTGGTTAGGCTCCCTACTGCTCCCACCTCCATCACTACCACTGTATCACAGTAGTATATGGCATCAGGGTATGGAGAAAGATTGCATGGTGAGACAGAAGGCAAGAGGCAATCAGGCCAGGCTTGCTCTTTTTATAACAACTTACTCCTGCAGGAACTAACCAAGATCCTGCAAGAACTACATTAATCCTTTCCAAGAGCATTGTCCCCAGAAACCTAACTACCTCCCAGTAGGCCCCCTTAAAGGGTCCATTACTTCTCAACATACACTGCCACACTAGGGACCAAGCTTCCAGCATCTGAACCTTTGGGGGACACACATAATCCATGGCACCATGTAAATTCAAGTAAATGTTCAACTGTACAAGGGACAAACTACATCCATAAAAAATAGTAAACATACCCTTAAGAGACTTAAACTAAGGTGGACTGGATTTCTGTGTGAAGTTTTCATAAAAACATTACACAATAAGTTTGTAAAATCAGAAGACATCTGGACAATTAAAGTAGCCTCAGAACCAAGTCACTGTTTAATTTTGCTTGGTTCCTTTTGCAGTGAGTCCATTCCCATGGTGGGGAGAGGTGTTACTCCTCTGATTTTGCAAATATTGGGCTGTTGTAGGAGGAATAAAGTTGGTCCCAAACAGAACTCTTTGGGAGGAGAGGGGGCCCTACATGTGACCCCAAGATTCCTTACTTTCTGCTTGCATTTTCTTTGTTTTTCATTAATTTCAACTGATAAGTAAAAATTGAATGTATTTACAGTGTTTTCATATACATATACATTTTGGAATGGCTAAATAAAGCAATTTTACATATATAGCACCTTACATGCTTAGCTTTTGGTTAAGAACACTTAGGATCTACTCTTGGCAATTTTTCAAGTATGTAATATATGGTTAAGATCTCTAGACACCCTGATATACAATAGACCTCTTGAGCTTATTCCTCCTGTCTAACTGAAATGTTTTGTCCTTTGACCAACATTTCCCCTACCCTCCCTGCCTTGCTCCCCACAGCCCTGGCAACCACCATCCTACACTCTGCTTTTATGAGTTTTTAAGTGAAGTCATGCAACATTTGTCTTTTTGTGCCTGGCTTGATGTAATGTCCTATAGGTTCATCCATGCTGTGGTTAATGACAAGATTCCATTCTCTTTTAAGGCAGAATAGTATTCCTGCGTGTGTGTGTGTGTGTGTGTGTGTGTGTAACATCTCCTTTATCTATTCCCCAGCTCATAGACACCCAGGTTGATTTTCTATCATGGCTATTGTGCTATTTTTTTTTTAATCTGGCTAGGGAGAAGGTCTTGGTAAGCCCTGGCTGTTGCTCTAGCCTCATCTGACCAGGCATCTTGAAAATGTGCCTCTCAGCTGAGGGGAGGTCTTTGCTTCCTCCTTCCATGCCCTACTCTGGGAAGAGGCTCCCAGTCAAAAATCCTGCCTCTCAGTCGGGCCCTCCCTCCTCACTGACCAGCCCTCCATTCCTGCTGAACACTGAGGTTTTTGCCCAGCTTCGTAGAATGAGCAGTGAGACCATGGGGGTGATGCTTCCTTTATAAGAGCAGCTGCTAACAATCCCACCCTCCCACTTAACAGGTCCTCTCTTGGAACAATCAAGCTGTCCTGTGCAGCTGAGATGAATTCCACCTCAATGGATAAAGAATCCTTTTCCACCACCAAGTTCTCTGCCAAGACTTTCCTGCCTTTGATGAGAATAGATGTTAGGAAGGAACTATGTGCCGGTAGGACTTAGCTGGAAGTCAGGGGTGAAATCTGTTGTCAAGGCCAAAATGTAGATGCATCTAGGAGCATTTGCAGAGAAGAGGCAGCACCATCTCACCACACCTGCTCCCCCTGGATGTCACCCTCAGGTCTGGTATATTTGTCCACGTGCTCCCTAATCTGGTTGCCAAGAGCCCCCTTCCAGGACAAGGTGATGGATCTAATATGCACAAACTGATCCAATTGCATCATTGCATATGAATGTATATTTTAATTAAACCTGTTACTTAAAGGTACTTGTAGATTCACATGCAATTATAAGAAATAATATAGAGGGCTGAGCATGGTGGCTTGCATCTGAAATCCCAGCTATTCAGGAGGCAGAGATCAGGAGGATCATGGTTTGAAGCTAAAGTTAGTAAGACCTCATCTCAACCACTAGGTTAGACATGGTGTCCTGTACCTGTTATCTCTGCTGTGGGAGAGGAATAGATAGGAAAACCCCCATCTGAGACTGGCCTAGGCAAAAACAAAAGACCCTATCAGAAGAATAACTAAAGCAAAAAATGGCTGGGGGGCATGTCTCAAGTGATAAAGCACCTGCCCAGCAAGTACAAGGTCCTGAGTTTAAACCCCAGTAGTAAAAGAAGGGAAGGAAGGAAGGAAGAGAGGGAGGGAGGGAAGGAGGGAGAGAGGAAGGGAGGGAGGAAGGAAGGAAGGAAGGAAGGAAGGAAGGAAGGAAGGAAGGAAGGAAGGAAGGAAGGAAGGGCAGGAGAGAGAGGGAAGGAGGGAGGGAAGAAGAAAGGAAGAAAGAAAATAGAGATGTACTATTTATCCAGACTCCCCATGGCAAGATCTTGCACAACTACAGTACAGTATCACAACCATGATACTGACATGGCTGTAGTCCACTAAGTTATTTAGATTTCTCAGTTTTACTTGTACCCGTGTAGTGTGTATGTACTTAATTCTATATAACGTTGTATGTGTAAGATGTGTCAAGATACAGAATCATCTATCACCACAAAGATTCTTTCTGTCACCTTTTATAACCACCCTTTTCTCCTTTCCCCTCCTCCCCCATCCCTAACCTTTGGTGATCACTAATCTGCTCTCTACTTCTATAAGTTGTCATTTTGAGAAAGTTTTACAGCCAGGCACTTGTGGCTCAAGTCTGTAATTTTAGCTACTTGGGAGGCTGAGAGATTGGGAGGATAGCAGTCAAGGCCAGTTGGGGCAAACAGTTCTTGAACTCTAAAACACCCAGAACAAAATGGACTGGAGGCATGGCTCAAGCAGAAGAGTGCCTGCTTTACAAGCATGAAGCCATGAGTTCAAACCCTAGTCCCACGTCCTGCCCTCCCCCAAAAAATGGAATCACAGTGTATAACCTAGAGATTGGCATTTTCACTCATCATAATGCCCCTGGATTCTTCCAAGTTGTTGGGGAAAATATCAATAGTTTGTTTCTTCTTATTGCACCCCAACAAGACACCTAGACCCAATAACAAATCCTTTGGGATGTGATCCTCACGGACCATTTACTCTAAGAGAGAAAATAATTTTTTTTTTTGGTGCTTCTGAGAGTGTGGGCGGGAGAGGTAGAACATGTTACAAGTTTTCCTAGGTTCAAAAACCATACCTGAGGACTGGCAGAGTGACTTAAGTGGTAGAGCACCTGTCTAGCAAGTGTGAAGCCCGGAGTTCAAACCCCAATACTGCCAAAAAAAATGCAGACAAAAAATATACCTAGGTTCCTTTGTTTCTTTCCCCCCAAAAAAGTGGTCAAAGCTAGTTCCTCTAGCTTTGGCTGACAGTTCTTTCTCTCGTCTCCTTGCTTCCCTTCTTCCCTAGGAGCACATCTACAAGCTGATGAAAAGTGACAGCTATGCCCGCTTCCTCCGGTCCAATGCTTACCAGGACCTGCTGCTGGCCAAGAAAAAGGTATCTTTGGGAAGGGCAGGCTTGTCTTTCTGAGCACTGTTGACTCTTGCTGCTGCTTGCTGCTGGTGTGAAATGAGAATTTCATCCCTTGGGTTTTATTTATTTTCTCCTTTCCTCTTTTCCTTCTCTCTCTGCTCCACTCCAATGGAAAGAGTTAGGATGTCACTGCCCCAGCCCTAGTCAAGGACAAAAGGATGTGGCATCTAGCCTGCCTCCATCTCCCCATTGCCTCTGTCTGCATGTTATGCCTACTGAGAGGGGAGTGTGACCAAATACCATGGCCACAGTGGCTCAGCACAGGAGTGCTGAGCTGGCAGTAACCCCAGCAAATCTCAGGACACCAGAGAGAGCAACTAATTGCAAAATCCAGGTTCCTCCCGACAAACCTCTCCTCACCAGCCTAGAGAGGAGGAGTCTGAGGCAAGAATCAGGGCAGTCTGTCATGGGGCAGAAAGCCTTGTTCGTTTCAAGGGAGCAATGCAGTATCTGAAGTCATCCCCAGGATTGGTCCCTCCTTGACACACCCTTCCCCACCCTCACTTGCCCTGCAGTGTTTCCCTTTTCTTTCAAGAAGTAACTGCATCCCAGTTCCTGCCTTCTCCACTTAAAATTAAGCCATGGCTCCCACAATCCTTGGAGTCATGAATCTGTGGGCCTAGGGACCCTCAGCATGCAGTTGATGAAAGCAACTAAAGCAGGGATTCAGCTGGATTTGGGGGTGGGTAAGTAAGAGCAGGGAGATGCATGGGGCTGGGAAAGGGGAAGCAAGAGACAGGGCTCATGATTCCAGAATACCTGCCAACACTCTGCACTTTTCAACTGCAATCTGAGGCCCATGTGTGGTTAAGTGTGGCTTGACTTGCACCAAATTCCACACCTTCCATGCCATATCACATAGGAGCACATGCATCCCTTTCTTCTCCCTTCACAGCCTCCCAACTCCAGTCCCCAAGCATGTGGTTGTCCATCCTCAGGCTCTCTTTTGGGCTGCCTCTCAGCCACACACCCTTCCCTGTGTATTGTCAACCTTGTGTGCAAGGATCCTGTCTGCATACCTGGTTGGTACAATGGGACTCCAGAGTCTAGGACAGGGGTTTATATCCTGCCTGCCTGCCCCTAGGTAGCTCTCAGAAGAACCCTAAGAGTCTGAGAAAGAAACAAGAGCATCCAGAAGGTCCAGAATGTCAGAAACCCAGCTCTGTTGGCTCCTGGTCCCTCTGGCAGGTGTGGCTGCTGTGAGGAGAATGTGAAAGCTGGCTTTGTGCCAACTTCCTTGCTGGAGGATGTCAGTGAAAGGGCTCTGACAGCCTGCAATTGACTCTGATGTCCACTTCTTCAAGCACTGGAGGTTGTAGAGACTCCTGATAGCTCCAGACCAGAGCTCATGGTAGAAGGTCAAAAGAAGTTTCCCATTTCTTGTGGCTCAAGTCACCTGAACTGATCCTGGTCTGGGGACATTGCAAGGCTCTAGCAGTTTCACAAACCTGGGCCTGGTGGCATAGCTAGAGGAAGTGAAAGCAGAAGCCATGCAGTTTTCCTGTAGGTGTGAACACAAAGGGACAACACACCTGAGCTTGCAGATCCCACAACAAGAAGAAAACTCTTAAGGTCATTTGAGTGGGGAAGGAACAGAGGGCTTTCCCGGGAAGTGTTAATGAGTGAAGTTCATTACAATTGTCCTTCCAGACCTCAAATTAAGGGATGTTCTTGGGGCAGAAAGCCTTACAGATGGCAACACCCTTTCAATATTGAGGAGTTGTTTTCTAAAACAGTGACAAAACCTACTTTTCCTTCCATTTCTTCCCGAGAGTCTCCAGGCATGGATGAGATTTGTAACTCGGCACCTCCAGGTAGGCCTAGAGTATCTTCTGATTTCAGGGGTGGGCCACCACGTGTTATCCATGTCCAGGTCATAAAAGGTATGTGAGGTTCACAGTGCCAGGCAGGAAAATATATGGAACCACCTCATATTTCTGCTGAGTGCAGCCCCTGATGGATCTGGAGGCATAGCCTGCAGATCCTTCTTCCTCCATTCTTCCTCTTTTCTGATGTTTTCAGAGGAAAGGAGGATTGCTCTGAAGAACCAGGTTCTCAAGGGGTAGGTGAGCTGGGTTTTGAGGGTCACTCCAAGAAATTTAAGTACCAGCAATGATGAGTTTCCAGGGAGCTCATGGAGGCCTGGGCCATGCAGAAGAAGCAAACAAGTCAAGCCAGTGGCTGCCCTCTGAGAGCAGCAACTCAGTGGCTAAGGGACAAGAATAATAAAAACAGAATGTTAGATCTAGGATCGGCCTGACTTGAGCTAAACACATGTTCCCCAACTCCATTGGATTAAAGCTGAGCCCTGCCATCTTGGTATGATTTCCAGGGTCAGGCATTGGTCCTTCAGGTCCTTGATGAGGAGAAAGCCAGCCCAACTCTGGTGGCATGTCATGTGTGTTGTGTTCTCCTTCTGCAACCTCGTATTCCTATTCCAGCTTCCAACTGCCAAGGAGGCCCTCTGACATGATCCACTCTGACAAGTGCCCACTCTGCCTGTCCACTCTGCTTTTAATGCACCCTGCAGATTCACAGACACCTGGCTGCTTTCTTCAGCTCCCCAGTTTCAGTTATTTGCTGGGGGTATGTGTGTGTCCCAGTCTCAGCCTCAAGACCCCATAACGGGGCTCTAAGATAAGTTGGCAGGTGTTTTGGGATGGAATTCTACTTTCCCAGGTAGAAAAGTTAGGGAAAATATCAGACACAGCCCAAACCTCTCTACCTCCTGTTACAGAGAGCAGGTAGGCCTGGGAGAACATTCAAGGCCTCTGCCTTTCTTGCTCCTGACACAGGAACTTCAGCTAAGAGATCCCCAGGGAGGATCTTAAGCCTCTGGTGCATGTCAGTAGTATGCCTTGGGAGTGTCACCTGCCTAGGTACTGAGAGAGCATCTTTTGTCAGAATACACCCATGTTATTGTCTTCTGAGACCCCAGACCCTTTGTCACTCAAAGGACACAAACAGGAAGTTAAAGTTAGCATACTGTCCTCTGGGCAGAAAAATCTCAAGAGAGAAAACAGTCCTGACCCAAACTTGCAGATGAACTAATGGACTTCACCTCCCCAGTGGATGCTTCTTGACATCCCATCAACATCACCACCACCACCAACTGCCCCCCCCCAAAAACACACCCCATCAGTCCTCATAGCTAGTCTGTTCTATGTCATCACTTGGAGCTCCAGATGGCTGCCTGGGGCCTCCTGGCCACAACTACCTGGGGCTCCTGCATAGGGGGACAACCAAGGGAAAGCCATGAGCAAGCAGCTCAAAACTATCAAATGAGGCCCTATGTAAAGGCCAGGCTGTGGGCACAGCTCCCCTTTTTCCCCACTGCTCCAAGGAGGCGGCACCATTTCTTCTGAGCTTCTGTTTTCTGTCTCTCCCATCCACTCTGCCAACAGCTCTGGCTGCTTCTCTTTTCCTGTTTTTCGCCCCATTTGGCTTTTGTGTTTTGTTCTTTAGCTGCGGCTTGCTGCTGTTTGGAAACCATGTGTAAGCTGAAGACTTTTTTTTTTTTTCTGTATTTTTCTCCCTACCTTATTTTTCCCCCCTCCTAAAGCCAGAAAGTGAGCAAGGTCGTAGAACTTCCCTAGAAAAGTTCACTCGCAGTGTGGTAAGTTCAGTCGGTTTTCTCCCCTCAACATTTCTTTTGGTTTTGGTTTTTCGATATATATATATATATATATATATATATATGCATATATTTTGTCCTTTTTGGTTGTTGTCTTCTTCGGGGCGGGAGGGATCCAGTGCTTTTCCCCCTCAACTCACCCCTTTTCTTTTGCGAGTGTCTGCAGCTTCTCTTCTAGGGATGGATTTCCCAAGATCAAGCGGCCCCCTCTGCAGAAGGTGCACAGCTGTCCACCCAGCCTCAGGCCAGGGCCTGTGAGCTCTGCTCAAGGCTATGAGGAGGAAAGACCCCACTGCTCTTGGGGCTGAGTGGTTTGTGCATCTTCTGCAGCAGCCTGGGGACAAGACCATGGAACATACCATGAAACAAATTGGCTCACAACCATCACTCATCTTAAAGAAAAAAAAAAAAAATCCAAATTCCCCTCTGTGAACTCTCAGTCACGCTGGTGCGGGTTGCGCTCTGATGTTGCTGTGTGCGCGACTTTGGCTGCGTGCAGAAAGCGGCCTTGCTGCATGGGTTCTGGCGATGTGGTCCTAGCTGGCGTGTGTGTTAGTGGCCTCTGCATGAATTCCTACCTCCCTTAGGGACCCCTGTCAATTTCATTTATATAGTATGACAGGAGAGGAGGGCAGTAGCCCAGTCCCTGAACTGCCCCCCCACCCCTGTTCTCCCCAGGGGCGAGGCCTTGTCAAGCTCCCCAATCCCTGATTCTGACAGTGAGTGGAAACAGGCTCAAGTTCACTGCACTTGTAGGGAAGTGGCCTGACCCACGCACACACCCAGCTTAGAGAGGTAGACACCCACACAGTGTCCCGTAACAGGCACGGGCAGTCAGAGAGGGGTCTTTCCTATGGAGCACAATAGCGATCCTGTATCAATCTACTATGATCTATATAGACCAATGTCCCCCATCTCCCCTTTCCATGTTGGTCTCTCCAAAATTTGATAACAGGGCTTGGTGTACAGGAAGTACTTAATCTACTCACTCACTGACAAATCAAAAACAAGTCCCTGAATTTATGGAATCAAGCCTGCACTGTTAACCTCAAATCAGAGGGTATCAAGATGGCAGCCAGGGAAGAGGCACATGGACCTGGCCACATTCTCTTCCCAAAGAGTGGAAACCCAGTGGTACAAACTTGCATTGTTTTCCCATGTCTATGGAGAGGAAAGTCCTTGTAAAATATGACTACTATATGATCAGTAGCCTTACTTCATACCTTTAACACAAAATCATGGGTTAAAAGCAACCTAGTCATTTGCTTGTCATAGCTAGATGCATTTTAACTGCATTTAAACATTATTTTGAATTAACTAGATGTAGACATCATAATAACTCCAGTAGGTGCCAATTAGAGATGGGTGCTCAACCTGTCTCTTCATGGGTCTTCCCTCTCTGTGGTCTTTCCTCATGAGAAATCAAAATATTCAGAATGCAAGGCCACTGGCCTCTTGTCTATCCTCATAGCTGGTTTTCTATGGCCTTGTGGCTTCCCACACCAAGAAAATGCCACACATGGTTTGGTAGAAAGTGTTGGGGTATCTCTCTGTCTCTTCTGAGACCCAACTGCTGCAGATGGAGGATGTTTAGGGATTTAGCTGATAAGCTGAGAGCATACTGTCAAAGCAACCTGAACTCTTCCGTGCAAGCTGCACAGGAGAAGTGCAGAAAAGCAGAACTCTGACAGTCCTGTTGAGACCCTTTAGGTTAACTGCATGGGTTGAGGCTATAAGAGAGAAAACCTGGTAGATGCCCAAACATCTTCAGGCTGCTTCTCATGAGAAGTAGGTATCAGGAAAGGTAAGAATGGTCTCAATGAAGTTCTGTAAGGAGCAGTTATTGACGTCTTTCATCCCAGAAGTGCTGTTGGCTCAGTGGTTCTCCAAGGTCTGTTAACAAAGCAGAACAGGAAAGTATCTGCCACTCTCTAAGCATCTGATGTGCAGAGAATTTACAGAGATGTTGATCAGGGTATGCAGAAGGAGAAAAATATTCCAAGCTCCTGAGATTTGGGGCTTTTATATGATAAAGCACTGAAATTTTAAAAAATATGTTCCTGAATTCCCTGCTACTCTTTTATGAACAGGAGACTCTAATGGATGGTGTGTTTGAACTTTTTGCTTCCTGCATTGGAGATAGATTTCCATTGACCCATCCATGCTCCTTGTGCTCTTGGGGTGATACCACAACTCCATCAGCAGGACTGTTTGGGGGACATGCTCATAGCTATAGAATAGTATTGGCTGTCAGACTACATAAGCTGGAGCCCAAGATTTTGGTCTCAACAACCCAATATTCTAATCAAACATAACTGACCAATATGCCTTGCAATTTGATATCCATTCTCTGAACACTACCTACATAAAGTGTTCAACTTCTCTTAAAGAAGATGTACACCAGTGTTTCATCTGCTTCTGACTACAAACTATCAAACTAAATGAAGAGTTTAATAACTTCCCCATGTTTCTGGGAAAGATATGTAAAAAGACCACTCATATCCACTAACTATGGAAAACTGAGAGAGTGAAACCATTCAGCTTGGCTGTCTATCTTAATGATTTTGTTAAGGGTTTGGAATGTGTGCCATGGTCATGTGGCATTCAAGATGGCAATTATAACCAAGATGGCTATTATAACCAAGATGGCTGTAGTAAGGTCAAGCTGGATCCCTTTATGAACCAGAGCCCATCTTTCCCTAACCCTGCTCACTGAGAAGCTTCTTTTCACTGTGGTTGTAAAATATGAAATCCTCAGCAGGAAACGCTTAGCTAGTCATTGTGGACTGCCTTTATGTCACCTTCCTTTGGGTTCTTTGTAGGACATTACTGACCAGGGAGAAGAGGAGACGTCAACTAAAATCATTCCCAGCTGCTCAGTACCAACCAGCCTGCCAGTGTCTGCCATCTTCCTAGTTTTGAGGTTGACAGATGGCAATGGGGGCACAGAGTGGCCAGAACTAAAAGGCTCATCATCCCTGGTTTCTCTTAGGAGTGTTTGACCCTTCAGATTCCATGGGGTTGACCATAAGCTTTGGGCTGGGGTCTCCCAGGGCCTGACTCTGACAGGGAGGACCAGAGAGATGCTTAGAGGGAAGATGAGAGGAAACAAAGGGCCCTTAACGAAGCTACAGCAACAGCAATGTGATTTCCCTTTTTTGGATGGTGGCTGAAGTCATCTGGTATGAACTCCCAGGTAGGGAGGAAAAGCTAGAGAAAGTCCTCTGCCCCAGTGTAGTTCCTTGGAAGTATCACAACATAATGACACTTAAGTTAGGAGAAATGGCAGCCCTGGGTGACCCTGGCTTTATCTCCCTGGATGCATTGGCTCTAGCCTTGGGCTGCAAATATGGGAAAAGGAGTTGCTTGTGCCTGAACAAACACAGAAGGCCACAGAGGACAAAGACGATGGGAACCAGTTGCTCATCCACCTCCTAGGAGAACCTGGGGAGTTAGCTTTGCCAAGGTGCTCCTTGGAACTGTAGCAGCGAGGGCCAGAATCTGAGGGCATCTCAGCACATGCTTTTCTGTCTTGTCTGCCAAGAAATGCAATGGGGAAAGTCAGGTGGTGCAGCTGTCAGTCTCTTCTCTACCTCTCCCCAAGCAGAAAGTCAAGGAAATGCTTTGGAGAGCCAGAGGTCAACAGCTCACCCTCCACCACCACCTCTGGGCAGCTCTGCAGGAAGAGACCATCTCCCAGGTCCTGACTGTGCTGGCCAGATGTGGAAGGCTGAGGCTTCTGAGGAGGGATGGAGAAGACAGGCATCCAAGGCAATCAACCTGGAAGCAGAAGCTCCCTTCCCCAGGGGTTGCTCCCTCCCTTCTTAGCATTTCACAGAGAGTAGTTGCATAGTGAAATAAGTCTTCAAATAACTAGACTCAGCACCGCCCAGAGGGCCTGGGCCTCCACCGAAAAATCTTCGCAGGCCTTCAGAAAGGACAATTAGCTAAAGATTTTTAGACAGGTTAATTTTGATGGCAAACAGTTCTTGGACCCCTCTGGGTCCTCTGGGACCACTAGGTCAGAGATATGAGTGCCAGCCTCCCCCATCCATCCAGCTGTAGTGAACTCTTGCCCTAACTAGACATGGAGGTAGACTTCCATACCGATATTTGGGAGGAAAAGCATGAAAATCTGCCTCTCCTGAGCAGCAAGGATGTCCCTGGGGACTCTGAATCCCCTAGCCTCAGCAGCCCCCATGCACAGTGGCTCCTGCCTCCCACCTCAGCTGGCTAGCTGTGTGTTCTCAGGCAAATCACGAGCCTTCTCTGAGACCTGGTTCTTCCCTCTGTCTAAGGATTTGGACTAGATAATCTCTATCATCCCTTCAGCTGGGAGTGTTCTCTGGGTCTGTGCTTCCCTCTGACCTGGGATCTGGGACCTGTATGAGTCATTCCTTAGAATTAGAGGGAAGATGCCTCACTAACCAGTAGCTACCTGGTTCAGAGTGGCCAGCCTTGAAGGCTGGGATATAAACCACAGATAGAATGGAACTGGGAATATTTACCAGCCCTAGACAGGCACAGCAGGGAAACTGAGTGCCATAGACTCCTTCCCCTAAAGGACCAGCCCACTCAGTTGTGCAGAGCAGAGCACACTCCTGCTTTGTAAGTAGCTGGATAGCATAGAGGGGTCACCAAGAACAGGATGAATGACAGTGCCTTGTCAACTATGCCAGCTCTGCCAGCTCTGCAGTCCCCATCCTTCTGTCTGGATATCCAGCCATGGATGTTGGGAGGAGGATGGTCAAAGTCAGCTGGGCAGAAAAGTGGGCCCCTGGGTTGCTGCTGCCACAGCCCTACACCCACACACCTACACACACCCACACATACACTCCCCCCCCAACACACACACACCCTGAGGGGCCTCAGGGCCCTTATGAACTGCAATCATTATGGAAGCCATCACTGTGTCTTGCCTGCTTCCACACTTTCTTTGTGTTCCCTGGGGAAGGTTCCTGTCACTATACGTTCTTACAAATGGGAAAAGGTGGTGACAGACAGTTCTGTCCTCATCACAGCCAGTGGTAGGCAAAGTCTTCTTCCACCTCAATCCTTCTCTCTATCCTGGCTCTGTGAGGAATGGAAAGGCCTATTCACTGTCATAGTTTTGTAGCTGGAGAATGAAAATGCAAAAATTTATTCTTTATAAAATGTGAAACAACAGAATCTGCACAGAACGCAGACAGACACCATGACAAAGTGATTCTCCATGGCAAGCCACAGGAGGAAGGAAATTTTTACTTATCAAAAAGGTCAGAATTTGGTTGTCATTTTGAGGAAACTCAGCCCCAGACCCTGCCATTTCTCCTGGAAGGAGGAAGCCCAGCTGCTGCCACTGATGGTTCAGCCTGTCGGCCAAAAGCAACCCAAAATTCCTCCCCACTGAGTGCCCACTCAAAAAAAAAAATCCCTCCATGATTCAGCCTCCTGACACATGAGGTGAAGAAGGCTCTGGGAGGTGAGGGGGTTACTCCCTGCTTCCTCCCACCACCACCCCAACTGCTTTCCCCAGACCCCAGTATGCCGCGCAGTCAACTGAAAACCGAACTCCTCTGAGGCAGAAAGGCACAGCTGTGTGTTTACAGCCACTGATTCAGATCCAAATCGCGTCCCTGCCAGTCTCCTGGCAAGGCAGGCTGGGGGCAAACTGTGTATATGTGCCAGGAGGGGATCTATTTCGGGAGGTGACCTACAGCCCTGTGCCATCTTGTTGCCTCCTCCCCACCCCCACTCAGGAAAGACATCCTTCTAGAAGGAGCTCTCACTTTAGCTGTGGTTGATGGGGTTGTGGGATTTCAGCCTGCTCTTTATCACTGGTGCAGTCAGATTCAGGCACCTGTCCCAATGCAATCACACAGGAATGGCGTGGGCTCCCATCTGTCCAGTGAGAAGGCAGAGGGTGAAGGTGAATAAGGGTCTAGCACAGGATAAACAGCAAGAAAGGCAGACCACTCAGAATGCCCTCCTCTGCAGAGGACAAAATCCACCCCAGTCCTGCCAGGAGAGCAGGGCATCACAAAAGAAGGGCAGAGAGAGCGAGAGAGATGCCCCCAGGCATTTGCAGACTTTATAACAGCAGTCTTGGGAAGGAGACAACACTGCTAATGACAAGGTCAAGGAGAAGAGACTCAACTCTGCCTATTGTCCCAACTAGAGAGTTGAAAGAAAGGTCAGACAGCCCAAGGTCAAAGGACCTGGAAAACTAAGACGAAAGACATACACCCCTAAAAATTCCCCACAACTGAGTTCCTGGTGAAACAAAGGGATGCTTCCCTCTGTTAAAGCAGCTAAGCAGTCTTAGGAAAGCCCAACACTGTGGGTGTGTATGAGTCTATCTTTAGAGACAACCCATAAAGTGGTGTTCTGAAGCAGAATGGCTAAATGGGGCAGTATTGGGGAGCTGAGAAGAGCTCAGAGCAGTGGCCCTTTCAGCATTGCGATGTCTTCCAGAAGACCAAGGAGAGATGGGTCCTTGGGGATTGGCTCAGTGGCTCCCTAATGGGTGAGAAAATGGGAGGTGAGGGTGAGGACCCAAATAGCAGTGAGTCTTCCACACTCCCGAATCACAGTCCCAAATAGGAATGGGCTTGCTTTGCATCCTTTGCTCCAGAAAATATTTTTTGTGATGTGTCATTAGTGCCATAAGGTTGAAAATAATATCTATTCCTGCTCCGACTCACCCTGCCCACCTCCAAAGCTTTCTTTGTTTGCCATATGTAGGTAATGCAAGGATATTCACAATGCTTAATAGCTGTGGAGAGGGGGAAGTAATCAATCTATGTCAACCAGAAAGATGATCTCTGATAACGGGCCACAATGGCCTTGACCTATCCAACATCCTTTCTTTATGTCTTGAATGAAGACACAAACATACCAATAATATTCCAAGACACATACTTCGAAGGTATTGGCCATTTGGTAGATAATGGAATGATATTTGAAAAATATCTCCTCTTTCAACTGGATGATGGGTTAAAACAACTAGATAAAAATTTACTTATTTAAAAGTAATTCAAATCTAAAACTACAGGATGTGTTTGTAGCCTCTGTAATTCAAGTAAAAAAAATTGGGAGGGGGTTGTAGTTGACTACCAGCTTAATTTAAGCAAAAGCAGGATGTTACCACTTTTTTAAAAGAGGCAACTTTAGTCTATGATAATAAAACTAGAAATGATCCAAGAGTGGAGGAGTATTGTACTGCTTTGTGTTACTCTAAGCTACACTGAGTCTTGGTGCTAAGGCCCCACATCTTATCCAGGGTTTTAATAAGCTAGAGAAAAAAAAATAACTGGCATGAGAAAGGAACTATGGAGGCCCTATCAGAAGATATGAGAGTAGATAAAGATGCCTGGCCTCCAAGCAAACTTGGTAGCTATCATGAGATCTATTTGCATTTGTTTTCCAGAACAAGTGGATACTTCTAGATTGATCTAGATGGCAAAGCTAGAACAAACGAGTGGAAAATATGGAGAGGGTCTCTGTTGAAGAAATTCTAGCAGTAGCAACTACCCAGCAATGGAATATGCCACCTCAAGAAGCAATGAGCTCCAAGGTTTAACACTTAGAAGCTAAATGGTCAAGGCTATTGGAATATAGGTTTCTGTGCTGAATTCTATAATCTCTTCCAACTAGAATTCTATGCTGCATTAAATATGTCTTAAATGGACCTTAATGCATTTCATTCAGTGTTTTATGAATAACATAGGGGAAAGGAGAATGGATTATAATGGATTTTGTTTAGATTGGAAGAGAAGGATCCAGAAGATTCAGATTAGACTGCCTTGAGAGAGAAAAAGTCAGATGATGACACTGAAAACTGTCAAGAATTGGAATTACTGTCCTTCACATGTCATCTCTGTGTATGTGTTTCTCTCAATCACACACACACACACACCATTTGCTGCTGCAGCAGCTGAGCCCTGGGTGTCAGGGATCTCTCCCCTGAATGCCTAAAAGGAAGTCAGCAAATAGAGGACACAGATGCCCATTGGCACAGGGAGCCCAGAGTGACCTGGCTTGAAGGAAGCCTGGCTTGTCGTAGTTCTCATTCAGAAAGGGTGTTGTTGAAAGCAGAAAAGATGATAAAGCCATTTGCCTTCTACTCAATGCCACTTACAGAGTCTGAGTGGACAAGCTGACACCAAGTCATCTCAACAAGGCCAGGAGAAGAACACACTCCCAGAGGCCTCAGACCAAAGATGAACTGCCCACGCTGTTCTCCCATGCTCGTAGGCCCTGCCTTAGGGATTCACCCAGTTCCGGGGAAGGGAAGGAAGGGCTTTCATGTCACATTCTTTTCAGCTGTCCTAAGAACCAACCTGATCACAGATGACACTCCCTCCTCTCTGAGGCTTCACCAGGACTGCTTTCAACTTGTCATGGGATTGTATAATTATGGTGATTACAGCTTATGCCTTTTTTCTTTTCTTCATCGTTTGCTTTCAAATCCATTGAGGCCCTTCATTAAACATGGCGATCCCAGTAAAGTCAGCAAAGTTTTAATAAGACATTTTTTAAAGCAAAAGAAAACCCAGTCAAAGCTGATGGTTTACTGTGTTCTCTCAGACATCCTTTTAAAACCCTGTCTGGTGCAATTGGTGCTTGGGTCTAAAAGATGGAGAAGAGAAAGAGATAGGGACCCAGGGACTTACTCACACAGTTGGAGAACCATTCTACACAGTCGATAGATCCAACAGATTGTCAAACAAGTCCAGAACTCCTGGCAGATTGAGTTTGGAAGTGCAAATGTAACATCCATACAAACCCCAACCCAACCCTGTAATCTACAGCAAAAGTAGTAGGCAAATTTTGTCCTGGATGATATTGGATGGTTCTAGGGCATTCATAATTCTAAATATATAAAAGAGTCAAATATTAGCATGTGTGGGTGATCATGATCCAGTGGTCATATACTTGATGAAAGTTTCCTTGGTAATGATATGGCTTTAGACCCCATTATTTGCTAGTCCTCAGCCTGATTTTCTAAAATAATTCCTAGGCCCATAGGGCACCAGGATAAGACCACCACAAAGGAGTAGGAGTTGGGTGGTAGCCACCAGAGCCCCCAACTTGCCCTTCAGCAGCTTGATCCAGGTTTGGTGGCAGGGTTCCCTTCATTTCCTGGTTCCCCAGGGATTACAGAGATGACTCCTTGCTCCAGCAGGAGTGTGTCTTTGAGAGGCCCTGACTGGCCTTTTGTGGCTGGCTGCCCTGAGCCATCCAAGACTGTTCCTTACCCTGATATTAGTTGGGTACTTACTGCTATGTCTCTAAAGAGAAAAGAGCTAGGTTGTAGCTGAGCTGCATCAACTGCCCAGAATTAAATGTTTAAAACCCGGATGTGACATGTCCCCCAATTACATTCTCATACACTGCTAAAGATGGCCTGCTTTCTTTGCCTCCCGAGAACAACATCCTTTTAGTACCCATGGAAATGCAGAGAAGTAAGCTGAGTTAGAGGCAGACAGCTCCCATTTGTCCACCTGCTATTGGTATGAGACTCTGGGCAAGTCCGTCACATGTCTGATGGGCACAGAAAAGCCTACTGCACATGGGAGCCATTGGCATGCCAGCAATAGCTGCCATTTTTTGGGAGCTTACAATATTACACTGTATCATGCTGGGCATGGCCTGAGATGGACTTTGGTCCTACTCCATTTTCTACCATTTACTATATGACATGAGCAACTTCTCTAAGTCTCTGTTCTCTCATCCATAACAGGAGATAAGATTAAGTAGGGGGAAAAAAACAGAAGGTGCTCAGAGCACTGTTTGTAGGGTGTGTGCTCGAGTGTAGCTCTTACTGTTATTTTCAACACATGATGTTATTTGCAACCCATGCTTAGTTGTCCACTTGTTGCCTTATTTAATTTCCAACAAATTCTGTGAAGTAGGTGTCATTGTATTTATTTTGCAGTTGAGTGTAAGTAAATGAGCACCTCCTGTGATAATATGACTAGCACATTTAATACAATGACTGGCATGGTAACTACTCAATATATAATAGCTATTATTATTGTCCTATTTTAAAGTTGATTCAGAGAGCTGGCTTCTCTATTTTCCTGGGAAGTGGACTGTGGTACCCGGAAGGCCAACTTTTGCTGTATGACTGATTTCTCGTGACCCCTAAGTATATCTCAGGAAGCCCTGAGGACTGTAGGCCTTATCAGCCTGGAAAGTGGTAATAGACTCAGGTAAAAAGTTGCATATGTTGCCAGAAGCTGCCATTTGGCCTCCTACTGAGATGTGGAACTGTAAGATGCCTGCTGCTTACAGACAGAGACCAGGAATGGTTCCACTCATGAGATAAGTGTGAAATCCAGTCCTTCAAATGTAGTCCTCCACATGATAGAACCTCACTCCCAAAAAACTCACCTCTCAGCTGTCTGCCTGCTTGGAACCACCCTAAGCAATACAACCTCACCAAGACCAGTTGTTCCATCTGCCAGATAAACAGGTTTCTATTTTTCAGCCACTTATTACACAGCAAGGTTGTTGGAGGAATCAGAAGCAAGTGGCAGAGGATGCTTTGGAATCTCTTGATAAGTCAGACCCCCAGGGTATAGGATCCTACTGCTTATAGCACTTATAGAAACAGAAGTGGAGAGGCCATTTCCACTGACAACAAATGGCTTTTTCCTGGGGAGAATCCAATCTTATGTATGTATTTCAAGGCAAACGCTTTCAATTTGTGGTATTTGTCAAAGCTTGGCTTCATGAGAGATGATATCAAATCTATGGCCAATCAAGTAGCTGCTTATATACCTTGCATGAGATGCTTGTGTGAGTGCCTACTGTGTGAACATGCACATAGTGTGTACAGGTGCATGTGTCTCCAGCCTGATACTTGCCCACATGTTTAATGTATGGTACATTATGTGACCATGCTCTGCAGCCCTGCATGTACCTCTGTGCATGGATTGCATGCCCGCTGCACCTGTGTGCGTGTCTGGGCAGGGGCGCCTCTAAAGCCACAGGTCTAAATGGTTTCAGCTGGATAAGTTATTCTTCACTTCCCTTCCCCCAAACACAATTGCCTAGTGCTGCTGGCGCAGAGTCAGAATGGCCGCTGCATTGCACCCCCGAGGTGGCTTCCTTCCAGCAGTGGGTGAGTGATCTCGGCGTCCACACACTCTCTAACCTTGGGGATCCTTCTGCACAGAAGGTGCTCTGAAATCTAGCAGAGATGGTCTGTTGGCCTGTGACCTCAGCTCTGCCCACTGCTCCTGTTCTGGTCCCATGGACAATCCATGGCAGCTATTTCTTGGTGTCACCACTTTTTCTGACCATTTTTTTTGGTACCTGTTAGTTTTTCCTTCCTAAGAAACAGAGCTGATGGGCTCAGAAATGATGCTGAGATAAGTACCTTGTCCTAGTGGCAGTACACAAGTACCATCCTGAGGTATTGAACCTGTAACTTGCTCCTCATGGTGTCCATTACCTAGCAGAATGAGCAAGAAGCACCACTTTCTTTGCCAAGGTTTCCAAATCCAATAGCAGCATCCTTAAGCTTCCTCTCCCAGCAAAGTCTTCCATAACCCTTCCTCTGTGGGCCCAGGGCCAAGTCCTGCAGGAAATTCAGATGCTTCATATTTCTACATACTGGACCACCAGGGGAGAAGGAAGGTGGGAAAACTCCCATCCACTGTCCCCTGCAAAAAGTCTTCAGGGTACAGGAAAGGAAGAAGGTTCTCTGTGAATAGGAATTCCAGTGACTCAAGTTTCTGTTCAGGCAACTCTTGAAAATGCTGCTTCACTTGTTTCCTGTTGCACTTTTTCAGGCTGGGAATACCTATCTCCTAAATGCTGAATTGCATTCCTAGTGGTAGGAAGGAAAGGGAAATGAGCCATGCTCTTTGATAGCAGCCAAGTGGACAGGGACATTCACTAAAGCATTATGCCATTTGGGAGGCGGATTGAGGGACTAGTTAGCAAGTTGACCTAGACTTTGCCTTAGCAGATGAACATGTTGGGAGGAGATGATAAGCGCCTTTAAGGAAGATGGAGTGAAGTCCCCAGGAGAACTTCACTCTTGCCAAGCAAGTGACTCCCTCTTCTGCTGCCTTGTCCATGATACCGAATTACTAAACTAGCTGTCCATTCCCCTGGAGTCATAGTCAAGGGTTACTTGAACTTCTCAGTTGGAAAAAAAGCACATCAAATTGTTGCCAATAGCAACATAGTCATGTCCCTGTTTCCTTGAGTCTTTGGCCTTTGCCTAATTTGGAGTACACCAGAACTTAGATACCCAAGTACATTTGGGGAGGAGGAGGAGAGATGAAGGGGTGGGCATTGTGTGGGCCCCAGGCAGACATGCTACTGAAGGACTTTGCAAGCAGAATACCCCCTCCACTCCACTCCTGAGGCCACCAAGATGTTGCTGCAAGCTGAGTGTAGAAAGGGCCATGGGGTTTCTCAGTTGGGAGGAGAGGAAGGAAAGATCGGAGATCTAGCAGGAAAGGAGGCATTTCCACTGCAGGGGATGCAAAGTAGCAAGGGAAAAGGAAATGCACAACTTGGAAAGGAGGGTCTGTACCTGGGCATTCTGCCACCAACATAGGGCTCAGCTGCTGAGCCCTTGTCACTCCCAGCATCCCTGCCTGGTTCCAGATTTGTCCCTGTACAGCTGGAGGGCTATGGAGGACGCTCTCTCATCACTCACTGAAACTCACAAGCAGAAGTTGGCTCTGGCAGGAGCCAGAGACCAGGAATACCACCAAAGGAGGGCTTCCCCTGCCTGTCTGGGACACACTGAATGAGGCACTTGGCCTAGAATGGCTTGAAATGGGTTCCGTTCTAATTGCAGTAAGGCCACCCTACCTGGCCAACCTTAGGTAAATGTCACCCCTGTTTCTGACCTCCCTGGATTGGTTATTACAGAAGATCTCAGAGGCATTGGCACTTGTAACACAGGGCCACAAACAAAAGGGTGGCTTCATTTAGCCTTTCCATCAGCCACTGCTGTAAATCTATATGCACTAAGCCAGCTCAGTACAGTAATCAAAGGCTCCTTTTGCCAGACTTGTCAGTCAGAAGGGGGCCTTTCCTCTGACCTCCATTTCCCAAATGTGACTAGGGGAAGCCCCTTAGCAGAGCAGAAACTGCCTGATGTGGGCTCAAGTGCTGAAGTTTCTTTCTCAGGAAAGTAAAGAAAATTACCCTTCACTGCCCAGAGAGCTGGGGCAATATGAGTGGGCATGGAGGAGTCCCTAGTTCCTGAGCATT